TTGATTGTTCTGTAAATAGTTTGAAATGGTTATTTAAAAAAAAGTGTAGAAAGTAAATGGCTGCAAATAACTTTATTCTTTGCAAAACTTGTGCATATGATTTTAAAATTGACAATTTACATTTGCATTTAAAGTTATGAAATATGATTCAATAAACATGTTTGTGGTTGTTACAGTAAAAAATATAACTTTTTCTATTTGGATGTTTTTTGTCTGATTTTAGATCAGTTGTGTTAATACAGTATAGCAAAATGAAAACATAACTGTAAATTCAGACACGTGAGGTTGTGCTGAAAAGAATGATACCAAACAAGGCAAAGTAAATAGTTTTTAAGGGTAAAATGTGGAGGGAAAATCAAAAGCAGTTAAAAATGGACCCCATATGGTTAAACATTTTTTTAAAAGTAATGCAATAGTTACTTTTCAAGTAATTAATTACTTTTAGAATCTTCTAACTCAGTTACTAACTCAGTTACTCTTTTGAAGAAGTAACTAGTAACTATAATTAATTACTTTTTCGAAAAGTAACTTGCCCAACACTGCTTATCCACAACTAGAAAACACAAGGAACAGCTCAGATAAAATAATTATAGTGGAAGATTTTAAGATTCATGTAGATGCTGAAAACAACAGACTCACTAGATGTCTTTCTGAAAGTGCTTCCTCCCTTGTGTTACAGCAGACCATTTGGGGTGTTTGAGGTGTGGACCTAAATGTAGACACAGGAGAGAGAGAGTAAGGTTTAAACAAAAGGCAAGCCTTTATTAATGCTGATATCATAAACAGAAAACAAGGCAAAGCGAGCTAGGGGAAAAAACTAAACTAAGACCTAAATTGAAACTAGTTTAACTATGAACACTGTAAAAACATGAACATGAATCTGAACAGGTGCATGAACCTGAACAGAAGTATAAAATAAACCTGAGGATTAGAGAGACATGACACAAGACAAAAATGCAACACAACACTGACCAGAGGAAGACAGAGAACATAAAGACACAGAAGGGTAATTAGGGAAGACGAAGATAGCTAAACTCTGATAAAACAGAAACTTTAATTATTGTTCCTGTCATGGTCCTGGGTCATTTTGACCCAGCGTTTTGTGTTTTGTGATTATTTTCCTCTGTTCTAGCTATTCTGTGTCCTCCCCCCTTTGTGTCCGGTTCGGGTCTAGATTTCCTGTTTTGTTCTGAAAGTCTGTCTGTTGTCATTGTGTTCAGCTTGTCTCCTCCGGTCCTCATGTGTATTAGGTTCAGCTGTTCTTCCCTCTTGTGTGTGATTACCTGATTACCGTGTGTGTGTGTGTATATTTAGTGGGTGTCGGTCTGTGTTCTTTGTCGGCTCGTCTGCGTTCTATGGTGTTCCTGTCTCTGCGTCTCTCTGCCCCGCACCCCTTTTGTATGGTCTCAGGTTTGTCACTTAGTTTCTCCCAGTTTAGGTTTCCGTTTGTAATTACTCATGCTTCACTGCCTGTTTTTGCCACTACCACCCTGTAAATAAACGTCACTCGTATCATCAGTTTGCTGCATTTTGGGTCCTCCTTTTCCTCCACTCCACACGGCTCTCCGCCAGCCGTGACAGTACGAGCCGACCAAACATGGACCCAGCAGCATCCGCGCCGTCCTAGGAGTTTCGGGAGGAAGTGATCGACAGCATTTCCAGGTTGGTCAACCTGTGGCTCGAGCATGAGGAGGAAGAGCTTCACCACACTGTAGAAGCTAGGCTACAGCAGCTGATGTCTGCTCACTGCTGGCTACTCGACTCTCTTCACCCGCTCGCACAGGACTTCATCCTTCACGAGCTGCACCTTCGCCCTCCAGCCGCTACCGCTTCCCAACCCAGCCCGCCGGTGAAGATTTTGCCCGGCCCGCCAGAGGTTTTGCCCGGGAGGAAGCGACGATTGCGCCGTCGGCGCGTCACCCCACAGCCGGAGATTTCGGAACTGCCGGCTGTGGTGAGTGAGAAGGACCCTTTTTCTGTTTTGGACTGTGTGCCTGTTTATTCCGGGGCTTTGTTTGTTGAGTCAGCTGCCCAGCCGGTAGCTCAGTTAGCCGCTCGGTCATCACCTCCATCACATTCAGCCTCACGACCCATAGCTCAGTCATTACCACAGCCAGACTTATTGGAAACTATGTTACAGTCCATAGCACAGTCTATAGCTCAGTTGATAGAAGACTCATCAGCCTTATCAGCTCAGCCACCTATTCAGCCATCATCTTCACCAACTCCTCCGGTACTTCAAGTTGAGTCCATCCAACCTGAAGAGAACTATTTTTCATCTGTTCATTCCAAGCAGAGAGACAAACCACACAATACTGAAAACATTCCTCAAGAGCTGGCCAGTTCTGAGACTGTGACGCACTCCAGGGCCTCCCCAGAGGCTGGGTTCCAGCCCCTGGCCGACTCTGGACCCCTGGAGGTTAAGAAGCCGGCTGAGGACTGCATCCGGCTGTCGCTGCCTGAGCTGAGCCAATGCTCCGTGCAGCTGCAGTCTGCCTTGTGTTTGCCAGAGACTGTTTTCGCTGGGGGGCCCGAGGAGCCCGTCCAGCCTCCTGCTTCGCCTGCTGGGGAGCCCGAGGAGCCCGTCCAGCCTCCTGCTTCGCCAGCTGGAGGGCCCGAGGAGCCCGTCCAGCCCCAAGACTCGTCAGCTGGAGGGCCCGAGGAGCCCGTCCAGCCCCAAGACTCGTCAGCTGGAGGGCCCAAGGAGCCCGTCCAGCCCCCTGCTGCAACATCGTCATCTGCCTCGCCTGGCCCGGCTGCAGCATCGTCATCTGCCTCGCCTGGCCCGGCTTCAGCATCATCATCTGCCTCGCCTGGTCCAGCCTCGGCTTCAGCTTCGCCTGGTCCAGCCTCTGCTTCGGCTTCGGCTTCAGTCTCGCCTGGTCCAGCCTCTGCTTCGGTCTCGTCTGGTGCTGCGACGGCCACGCCACCTTCGGGTCCCGAACTGCCGCCTCGACGTCGGCGGTCATCTGCCAGGCCGCTGGTGGAGCGTCATCGTCACTATGGACGACCTCCTAGACGCCGCCATTGCTGTCCGCACGGTCGGCCTCCAGACTTGTGTCATCGCCGCCGTTGCTGTCCGCACGGTCGGCCGCCTGAACGGTTTCCCCGTCGCCGCCGCTGCCGTGTGCACGGTCGCCCCCCCTGAACTGCCTCCACTCCGCCACCGCTGCCTTCCGCTCGGTCGGCTTTCGGATCTGTGTCGCCGACGTGGCCGGCCTCAGAAGATGAACTGTCCTGGACTTCTGAGTTGTCGGCCTCCGGACCGGCCTCCTGAACTGTGTTTTGTCCTTGTGCTCCAGCATGTGTGTTTGTTTTGGACGAGCCACTTGGTTCGCTGGAGCTTGTGTTTGTTCGGTGTAGGTGTAGATTTTTGTTCATTCTTTTGTGGCAGAGAAAAACCCGACTCAGAGTGGTCAAAACATTTATAATTCTTTATTCAATCATCTTCTGGAAGAGAGATACCTGCACAGCCCAAAGCCAGTTGCAAAACCCTAGCATTAGAAACCAAATATGTATATCATATCAGGTGTTAGTTTGGTCCTTTACACGTCACACATAGTTTCGATAAAAATAACTTCTTCTGGCCTGAGCTGATGTGCGTGTGTGTGTGCTACTTAGTTCCGCTTTTTCTCCCTGTACTGGTTTCCTGTATTTTATTAATATGCCTCTGCATCTCTGCAGTAAACTTCCTGTTTTTTAAACTTCCCTAACTTAAGCCTCTGTTGCTAAGGCGACCTGTCACCCTCTGACCTAGTTCTCTCTCACAGCTGGCTTTGCTTTAAACAGGCCTTTATTGTTAAAATACATAAAACAATATAATCAGAAAATAAGCACTAAGAACATATAATAATAATAATAATAATAATAATAATAATGGATTGGATTTATATAGTGCTTTTCAAGGCACCCAAAGCGCTTTACAATGCCACTATTCATTCACTCACACATTCACACACTAGTGGAGATAAGCTACGGTTGTAGCCACAGCTGCCCTGGGGCAGACTGACAGAAGCGAGGCTGCCATATCGCGCCATCGGCCCCTCTGGTCATGTTATTCTTTAACACAGTTAAGAATATTTCAAAACTCAGACTAATGGTGTTAAAGGCTGAACTTGAGATGATTCTTCATGCTTTTATTTCTTCCTGTGTGGATTATTGCAATGGTCCTTTTACTTGTTTTAACAAATCAGCTTTAAATCATCTTCAGACAGTGCAGCACAATTCTTAACAAGCACCAACAGAGAATCTCATATTATTCCAGTTTTAGCCTCCCTTTACTGGTTGCCTGTAAATTTTAGGTTTCATTTGAAAATTTTTGTTCTAAACTTTAGGGTCCCTGGTCAAGCTTCCCAATACATATCGACCTGCTGAAAGGTAATCAGAGACTGCTGGTAGCCACACGCCCTTATTTAAAACTCGTGGTGATCGGGCCTTTCAGGAAGTGGCACCACAGTTGTGGAATACTCTTCGATTGTTTTTACGCTGTACTGACTCCATTGATTCTTTTAAAAAGCAGCTGAATGCATTTTTATATAGACAAGCTTTCAATTAATTTGTTATTTTTATGTTGTATTTTATTGTCATACATGTTGTATTTTCATTCTTTATATTTGTTGACATGAAGAAAAAAAATCCTTGTTATTAGTTGTTAATACTCCCACAGTTGGCTTATTTGTTCTAATTCCCTGTTTTTTCTGTGCCAGCCGGTCTACATGTGTATTGTGTTCCATGTTCATTATAAGTAAGTTAATTCCATGCATCATTAGTTAGACTAAGTTCAGCTGTGTAGTCACTGGTCTCTCATTATCATCCTCATCAGTCTGTGTATTTAACTCTTGTGTTTCCACTTGTTCACCGTCGTGTCATTGATGTTGTCACAGCCGTCATTCCTGTGTGTGTTTTTAGCCAGCCATCCAGCCAGTCATTCAGTCCGTCCTCCATTTCATGTTCTGTTCATCCACTCTCTATAATAAACACGGGCTTTAGTTTGTCACTCATCAACGAGGGGACTCGCCTGGCTCTGTGCAGGCCATGGAGATGCCACGGTCCTCCACCAGCTGCCTCACCTGCATCGGAGCATTCGTCGCGGAGAGTGGGCGTCACTGGCCAAGCTTCGGCTGCTCACTCCCTCGCTGCCCCAATTCTCGCACGTCCGCCAGCTGCTTCTCTCACCAGACCTTCAACCTTGCCGTGCAACAACGGCTTCACCTCCCACCTTGGCTCTACGGAGGCTTCCTCGCTCAGCGGCTCAGCTGTTTCCACTCAGCGGTCCCACAGAGGGACAAAAGGACCCCCTGATGATCCTCTAATCGCCTGAGCCAAGGTGTGGTTCTCAGTCATCCAGGTCATCATAGTCAAAGGAGTTTGCAAAGAAAAGCGTCTGGACTTCTTTAAGTTGCTTGAAGACGTTTCACCTCTCATCCGAGAAGCTTCTTCAGTTCTAAGGTCAAATGGTGGAGAGTCCCAGATATAAACCTAGTGGGAGTATCCCCCACAGGGGGACAAAAGAACCCCCTGATGATCCTCTAATCGCCTGAGCCAAGGTGGGAAACTGGGTGTGGGTCCAAATCAGCCAGAGTTTCGGGTGAGTTCATTGTGAAACCTGGCCCCACCTTATCATGCGAATTCCTGAGGTCAGATGGCCCAGGATGTGAGTGGGCGTAAAGGCATCTGGGGGGGAAATCAAAACTGGATTATAGATGGCAGACAGTTGGTGTCGTAAACCACCGCCTCTGTTCAAAGATGGTCGCTCACAGTGGACATAAATGGCTTCTTTCACTCCTCTTTCAAACCATCTGTCCTCTCTGTCCAAAATGTGAACATTGGCATTCTCGAAAGAGTGACCTTTATCCTTGTCTGTGAAGGTTCTCAGTCATCCAGGTCATCATAGTCAAAGGAGCTTGCAAAGAAAAGCGTCTGGACTTCTTTAAGTTGCTTGAAGACGTTTCACCTCTCATCCGAGAAGCTTCTTCAATTCTAAGGTCAAATGGTGCAGGGTCCCAGATATAAACCTAGTGGGAGTATCCCCCACAGGGGGACAAAAGAACCCCCTGATGATCCTCTAATCGCCTGAGCCAAGGTGGGAAACTGGGTGTGGGTCCAAATCAGCCAGAGTTTCGGGTGAGTTCATTGTGAAACCTGGCCCCACCTTATCATCAAATTCCTGAGATCAGATGGCCCAGGATGTGAGTGGGCGTTAAGGCGTCTGGGAAGGGAACTCAAAACTGGATTATAGATGGCAGAGAGTTGTCGTCATAAACCACCGCCTCTGTTCAAAACACAGACTTAACAATGTGGTGTATGCTGTACAGTGCAGCGAGGAATGCCCAGACCTCTACATTGGAGAGACCAAACAGCTACTTCACAAGCTCATGGCACAACATAGAAGAGCCACCTCCACAGGACAAGACTCAGCTGTCCATCTGCATCTTAACACTAGAAATACTGAGCCTTTTTTTTCCCCTGGTGCAAGTCCCTACTACTAGATTTACCAGCCCTGCGCAAATTTGCGTAAATTCCCCCGACCCTAACACCTCTTGGCACCCCGCTGAGATTTTCACAGGTCTTCAGCTCCATTGTTCTCCTGCTTTTGTTGTGCAAAGACACCCTCCCCCAACCCCCAACCAAGAGAGATTCAGGTCTTTCCTTCCCTGCAAGGCTACTTTCCTTCCTTACCTGCAGCGTACAATAGACCATGTTAGTTTCTATGTGCAATATTTTTCATATGCAATATTAGTTCTTGTCAATGCTTGTCACTACATTGCATGCCTGTCCATAAACATATATACACAGAGTTGTACATACATTTATATAGCTACGTGTGTGTGTGTGTGTGTGTGTGTGTGTGTGTGTGTGTGTGTGTGTGTGTGTGTGTACACACACCAATATTTTTGAATACACGTGTCCATATTTATGTTTCCAGATTGTTTGTATAGTGCACTTTCTATACCGTGCTCTTTGTACAGTTTTTATTTAGCTGCTTTTGTCTTGCACTGTCCACTTTTTTGCAATGACAATGCAGATTTTCCACTTGTGGGACAAATAAATGCAGATTTGTTGTGTGTGTGTGTGCGCGCGCCGCGTGTGTGTGTGTGTGCGCGTGCGTGTGTGTTTGTGCAACATTAGCATTTGTTTACTCAGACCCAAGGCAGGCCAAACCTCTGTGTTACAACCTACATACATAAGACACACATTCACAATATATGGATACACAAGTCTGTTTTATTTCAAAGTGTTTCAAACTTTACAGCGTTTGCAGATCCAGTGTCCATCATCCCTGCATTTGGTACAGGTGAATTTCTGACATGTTGCACAGGTAAACCTGCTGCGATTCCTGTTGCAGCTCTCTTGCACCTGGCACTGCGTTGACTTTACGGTCCCTGGCACAACAGCTGCAGCAGCTTCATCAGCCTGTCTCTGTGCTAATATTTCCTTGAGCTGCATGAATCGGCAACGAAGTTGCTGAGCTAGAAGACTCAGAAACAATCTTCTTTTGCCTGTCCACCCTGTACATGCCTTGTACAAAATGTAGGCATTCACCGCCGCCAGGTCCAGCATATTGTAGAAAACCGCTACTGGCCACCTGCGTGTTGCTGCTCTTACGGAATACATCCACGCCATTTGGTCCAACACGTCTACACCACACTGTAAAAGCAGAGAGAGAGAGTCATGAGTATATGTTTTTTTTCTATAGGCCTGTATAACACACATCAGAAAACATTGTAGCACTGGTGTAAAATTGTACACACATTCACATACCTTCATGTGGTTATAGTCTGTTATCGTGTTGGGTTTCCTCTTTCTGCCGTCACCGATCATCACGTCTTGGTGCATGGAACTTAGAACACACACAGTCTTGGTTTTTTTAGGTGCATAAATTGTCAAGGAGACACCGCCACTTCTAAGCACTGAAGTGGAGAATACCTCTCGCTTTGCAGTATCTTTTGCAAGTTGAGGAAGTTCACGCTGGACTTTATTCACCGTGCCCAGTAACGTTGTTTTGTGCTGCAGCAGTCTGTGCGACAGTGACAGTGAAGTAAAGAAATTGTCCGTTGTGACATTTCTCCCATCATCCCAAAATGGCTCCATCAGTTTCATGACCATGTTCTCTGCCAGCCTCTGTCCCTTCTGACGACTGGGGTCCTTTCCCAAGTAAGGAGATGCACTGCAGACATATTTGGTGTCCAAATCTGTGGCCATCCAGAACTTGATCCCAAATTTGTCTGGCTTGGTTGCAATATACTGTGTGAATGGACAGTGAAGTGAAGCATGAAAGATTTGCTACTGCACTGGGCTTTCCAATGTCCTCCTCAACCCACACAGTGCCGTCTTTTGCCGTGTGGCTCTGGCTGGGCTTCCCAGAACCACAGGGCCTCTTCCGAGGAGGCATGTTGGGTTCTTGTTCCGTCTCCTTTTCAGATTCTTCTGAGGAGGTATCAGTGGCCTGCTGGACAAATGAAACCTCTCCTCCATCAGAATCTGCTTCGTCCATTTCCTGAAGCAAGGCCAAAGCCTGTTGCGCGGAGAGGTTCTTCCTGCGTGGCGGTGATACGGAGGCCATCCTGATGTTCTCAGAAATGGGAACAAGAAATCATTCTCCCGTCTGGGTCGGTCTGCTTTTATGCACAGCACTGTGCTGTAGTCAAGCAATGTCACTTCCTCACATACACAGTGACAATGGAACAATGGAAGATCTGTGCTGAGAGTCAAGGAAGGTGTGAATGTGTGTCTTTTATATTTGCAGGTCAGTCAATGTGTGGGATATTTTGTATAGGTACGGCAGGCATTTCTGAAAGTTGTAACATAGAGGTTTGGCCTGACTTGGATCTGAGCAACTCTGAGTGAGCAAATGCAAATGTGCCAGACCTCAAGGATAATGGGTGGTTTGCACAACATGACCTGTGAAAATCTCAGCAGGGGTGCCTCGGGACATGCACCAGAAAATAAAAAAACAAGTAATTCTAGGGGGTGTTGGGTTTAGGGAAGTTATGCAAATTTGCGCAGGTTTAGTAAATCTAGTGTTAAGGATAAAGGACACTCTTTCGAGGATGCCAATGTTCACATTTTGGACAGAGAGGACAGATGGTTTGAAAGAGGAGTGAAAGAAGCCATCTATGTCCACTGTAAACGACCATCTTTGAACAGAGGCGGGGGTTTACGACACCAACTCTCTGCCATCTATAATCCAGTTTTCAGTTCCCTCCCCAGACGCCTTAACGCCCACTCACATCCTGGGCCATCTGACCTCAGGAATTCGCATGACAAGGTGGGGCCAGGTTTCACAATGAACTCACCCGAAACTCTGGCTGATTGGGTCCCACGCCCAGTTTCCCACCTTGGCTCAGGCGATTAGAGGATCATCAGGGGGTCCTTTTGTCCCCCTGTGGGGGGATACTCCCACTAGGTTTATATCTGGGACTCTCCACCATTTGACCTTAGAACTGAAGAAGCTTCTCGGATGAGAGGTGAAACGTCTTCAAGTAACTTAAAGAAGTGCAGACTCTTTTCTTTGCAAACTCCTTTGTCCTTTTTCCTTAAGATGCAGATGGACTGCTGAGTCTTGTCCTGTGGAGGTGGCTCTTCTATGTTGTGCCATGCACTTGTGAAGTGGCTGTTTGGTCTCTCCAATGTAGAGGTCTGAGCATTTCTCGCTACACTGTGCAGCATACACTACATTGTTAAGTTTGTGTTTAGGAGTTTTGTCTTTCGGGTGAACCAGTTTTTGTCTGAGCGTGTTGCTGGGTCTGAAATACACCAGGATTTCATGCTTTGAGAAAACTCTCCTGAGTTTTTCTGATACACAGGGGATACATAGGGGATGACAATGTTGTTGCGTCGCTCCCACTAGGTTTATATCTGGGACTCTCCACCATTTGACCTCAGAATTGAAGAAGCTTCTCGGATGAGAGGTGAAACGTCTTCAAGCAACTTAGTCCCAACGCTTTTCTTTGCAAGCTCCTTTGACTACGATGACCTGGATGACTGAGAACCTTCACAGACATAAGTCACAGAAACACATTCAGTTATCAGTTTCTCTTGTGGTGCTGGGTTTGTAGCCACATTTTGTATTTTGAACCTCGGTCTGTGTTGCTGGTGTGTGCGTCACATTTATAAACAGCTCATTGTGTCAGTGGCTTAACAGCATTCTGCAATTCAGAGAAGCATCATATCTGCAATTTTCATGAGTATTTAATGCAAATGATATTTGAGGAAGCAAAGTGCACTTCATGTAGCAACACTATCCTGGCACTGTTCACTGCTTGCTGTGACAAGAACAGTAGCTGGGCTAAGCATTGTACAGTGATGTTAGGATATTCTCTGTACTGTCCTGTAAAGGCTGAAGTAGCCAAAAATAAAAGTAAAATTAAATTAAAAAAAGACAGCATGTAAATTAAATTTTCTTCTGCAATTAAGCTGTTGTATTATGAGTATCTAACAGCATCTGTATGTAACCTGTTGTTTTTAGTTTATAACTCAATTTCCACTCATTAATTTTCTTGACCGCTTATCTAATTCAAGACAAATGGATCATCTGGTCACAGCTTTCACCAGGTGAGATCATCCAGACATCTATAATGTTTGATTTAAAGTTGGTTATTTTCTAGTTTGGTCTGTTGCACTTGATGAGGAAGACATTTTCATTTTTTATTGGCTACACGTTTTGCATATAGATTAATTTTCAGCCAGACAGTGTAAATATAGCAGCTCTGTATTATTTACCATCAGCTCAGCTCTTCACTGACAATAGCTCTCTGAACAGCTCTGCGGACCGGATAGGAAACTGTGAGTACGACACACTGATAATCCTTTATTTAGAAATGAAATGTACAGCAAACATTGAGTATAATGTTCCCCGAGCTTAAGACTGTAATGTGACCTGATTCTACTTTACTGGATCAGTTAATCTAACATAGATCAATTTTTCTAAAACTGTAGCAGGACCGTTATGCCTCACTGTGTCTTGAGAGTTATTAGTGAGAGATAATTTACTTAGAAGATCTTTAAGTTAATCACATAGTAAACAGAAATATGTTGTAAAGTTAATTTGTAAATACAAATTATTTTTTGAAATGGTACTAATGTTTCAAACTTTCCTGTAAGAAACAACAGGAAATTTCAGTATTTTGAAAATGCTGTTTATAACAATGCCTGAAATTTAGAGAGGAGACCACAATACCAGCTGCAGGAGAAAAACAAGCTCATAATACATGGCTACACAGTAAAACTGCATTGTGAGCTTTTTTGTAAAATAGCATTTTACAGTTGTCAGAGCCCCCTGTCCTCCCTAATAAAGGGGGTGATGCAGTACTCTCATCATTTAAGATGAGCCCTCTTCTCTGCTTTAAGATAACCACTCATGTTATCAGAGATGTTATCAGGGTTATAGAGTAAAGTCAAGTCCTCTTCGACACATTCATTTTTCCATCTCCCGATGGGGATATACAGACTCTCATATTGCCAGAAAAGCTCTGGTATCTTAGCAGGTTTCCTGTGGACCCATGCTCAAGATAGTATGGGCTAAAGATGGTACAGTAACTTCCATTAGGACTTGAGTGGGACCCTAAAATCCCGTGTGAACTGGGTTCACTATTTGTGTAGTGAGAGTTTGTGAATATTTTTTACAATGGAATTTTATTTATTTAATGTCAAATGACAACAACAGTCACTTCAGGGAACTTAATGTAAGGTAAAGACAGTACTACATGTAAACTCCAACAAGTAGATGACCCGCTGTGAGCAAGCACTTTGGCAAAAGTGGGAAGGGGAAACTCTCTTTTAACAACAAGAAACCTCTGGCAGAAGGTTGGAAAAAGAAAACAGTGGCTGGATAGGCTACTGCTCAGTACTGAGCAGAGGCTTTTCATTGTTCTATTGATAGTTCCCACATGCTTTGCATTTAATCTCTCACCCTGTAGGCTGTTTTCTCAGTTTCTGCGCAAAAGACCAAAAAAGCTAGCATCAGGAATCGCTGCATAGAAGCAGAAACACTTCTGACAATGTATTTTGTGGTATGAGGAATAATACGATTAATACCATTCAACTTCTCATCAGAACAGTTTCAGATATAATTTCAGAGATAATGTGTATTGTCTGTGAATCGACCATCTATACTAAATGATTTGTGATGAACTGGTGGCAACCTGTTAATATTTTATGTTTAAATTGTCTGTTTTGGTTGTGCTGATTATATCATTATTAAGACAGACTTTTCATTCATTTGAAAGCCTTGTCCACCCCAGCTGTAAAACTCAGAAACCAGTCTTACTTGTTATCATCTATCGTCCACCTGGGCCTTACACAGAGTTTCTGTCATGGTCCTGAGTCTGAGGACTCAGTGTTTTGTATTTCCTTATGCTTTTGTTCATTCCAAATGTGTATTCTGTTGTGATTTTTGCCATTTGTTAGGTTTCTGTTCCTTGCCTGCCTGCTCCCACTTCTCTGTGTTCCCTCTGTCTGTCCATGGTGTTATTGTGTCTGCTCATGAGTCTGCCTGTCAAGTTCAGTGTCCTGTCTGGTTCTCTGTGTCTGTTAAGTTTCCTGTTTTATTCTGAAAGTTCATGTCTCATGTCAGTGTGTTCAGTTTTACCTCTCCCCTGTCTCGTTAGGTCTTATTTCTCCCAGCTGTGTCCCCCTTCTGTCTCTAACTCCTTGATGACTCCCTCAGTGTATTTAAGCCCAGTGTGTCTTTGTGTCAGCGTCGCGTCGTTAACGTCTGTTCACCCTCACTTGCTGCGTGTTTAGGATTTCCAGTCTTCCTGCATCTCTGTTTAGAGTTTTGTTTGCTTTTGTGAGTTTTATTTTATCTTGATGTTCTGCTCCAGCAATAAAGCTGCATTTTCTGTTTAAACCTCGTGTCCTGAGAATCCTGCATTTTGGATCCACCACTCCTGCCTGCCTGCCACACAGCCGACCATGACAGTTTCGGTCTGATTTCTCAGACTTTTTATCTGATTTAGTGCTCAACTCAGATAAAATAATTATTGTAGGTGTTCTCTGCAAAGCCAGAACATCTTACTATTCGTCCTATTATTCAACCTTGGAGTGATTTTTGACCAAGACATGTCCTTCAATGCACATATTAAACAAATATGCAGGACTGACTTCTTCCATTTGCACAACATCTTTAAAATTAGAAAATATCCTGTCTCAGAGTGACGCTGTAGAACTAGTTCATGCATTTATTACCTCCAGGCTGAACTACTGTAATTCATTATTATCAGGATGTCCAAAAAACTCGCTGAAAAGCCTTCAGCTAATCCAAAATGCTGCAGCAGAAGTACTGACTGGGACTAGAAATAGAGAACATATTTCTCCTGTTTTGGCTTCCCTTCATTGGCTTCTTGTTAAATCCAGAATTGAATTCAAAATCCTGCTCCTCACATACAAGGTCTTAAATAATCAGGTCCATCTTATCTTAATGACCTTGTAGTACCATATCACCCTATTAGAGCACTTCGCTCTCGCACTGCAGGCCTACTTGTTGTTCCTAGAGTATTTAAAAGTAGAATGGGAGGGAGAGCCTTCAGTTAAGTTTCAGTTAAAACTTTCCTTTTTGCTAAAGCATATAGTTAGGGCTGGATCAGGTGACCCTGAATCCTCCCTTAGTTATGCTGCAATAGACGTAGGCTGCCGGGGGATTCCCATGATGCATTGAGTTTTTCCTTTTCAGTCACCTTTCTCACTCACTTTGGCTGTATCCCAATTCAGGGTCTGCAGCCTTAAAGTACGCAGCCTCAACGATCCTCAAGGGCCGCGTACTTAAAGACCGCTAAGGCCGGAAGTGCGAGACTTGTGAAATGGGACGGTCTAGCCTCCGTTGCGCTGCCCAGGTTGCCTAGCAACCATGATACTAAATCATACAGCTTTGTCTGACAGAAATGAAGGTGAAGGAGAAAATCTTTTGTTCATTTGTTTGTTTGTTTCTACATGAGCTTTGATCATTCTCTGTAAGATTAAGCTCAGCTATTGAATGGCGTATATTTTAAAGTAAAGGCTTTAAAACCAAGTTAGTACAAACGTCACTAATGTCACATAACTTTGCTGACATGTGGCCAACAGTAATGTTTTAATGTTGTTCGTTATTAAACATTTGCACATAAATAAGTGACATAATATTCAGTACTTAAAGTTTACTCTTCGGCCGCCCCTCATCTGCCGTTTTTTTCGGCAAAATTATCCACACCCATCGCCGCGCTATGCATTCTGGGATATGTTGGGCCACGAAGTCTACACCGCCACGTCCTTAAAATTCAGGGAAATGAAGGACGAATTTGAGGGCCGCATTTCGAGCAGCCTTTGAATTGGGACAGCCTTCGTCGCGTCACGGTGACGTAATCGGCCTTAAAATGCAGCCTTTAAGGCTGCAGACCCTGAATTGGGATACAGCCTATGTGTTAATAGACCTCTCTGCATTGCTAACAGTTAGCATGTTAGCAGGGAGTTTGTCCTTCCCACTATCGCCAAAGTGCTTGCTCATAGGAGGTCATATGATTGTTGGGTTTTTCTCTGAATGTATTATTGTAGGGTCTACCTTTACAATATACAGTGCTTTGAGGCGACTGTTGTTGTGATTTGGGGCTATATTAATAAAATTGAATTGAATTATTATCAAACAGTACATGTATAAAGCCAGATGACACAACTAAGTTAAACAGGAGACGTCTTGAAAAAATAAAATCCAACCGTCAAGTTTCTATTTCTAAATTAAGACAATACTATTATTACACAATTACTTCTTGTATGTGGAATGTTGGAGACTTTTTATTAAGTGTGGCACGTTTCACCTCTTAAGGAAAGCATATTAGAATGCATATATTCCCACATGCATCCAAATGTGCAGACAGACATAAACGAAGCATAAAGGTCCTTGATCTGTTGTGCACAGAAATCACTTTTCTGCCTTTGAGTATCATTGAGGCTGCGTACTTTAAGGCTGCAGACCCTGAATTGGGATACAGCCAAAGTGAGTGAGAAAGGTGACTGAAAAGGAAAAACTCAATGCATCATGGGAATCCCCCGGCAGCAAAAGTGATTTCTGTTTCATAAACTGACGAACTATTGCAACTAAAAGATAAAAACAAATGTGAAAAAATAGTTTAAGAAAGTTTTGATTTATTCAAAACAACTTCATTGAAAATACGATTTTTTAAATAGTCTGATGTATGTGTTTCTTAAAGTTGGATAAGACAAGTGCATTCAGTACCCACCACCATCTGATTGTAATCTTCTAATAGGTGTTTGCTGATTCCAGGTAATTTTCATGTTTACAAACTAAATCAACTAATCCAAAAACATCAGACAAAAGGACAGAGAGTGAAAGTGAGGCTGTCTTTGGAAGTACATGTATTCGTGTTGTCAGTGATTTCTACCTTTGTGCAGAGACACACACTTTCATCATGTTGCTCTCTGAGACATCGTTGGTCCTGCTGATGGTTTGCGGCACTCAGGCTTCACATTTTTTAGGCACAGTCATGACCTACTACCCAAAGGACACTTTTGAAAACGGATCTGTCACAGTACGTACATTTTCTATCTAAAATAATTTTCCAGACTTGAAAACTTGAAAATGTTAGGTAAACACTTTGTGCCTGTAACTCTACAGGTGACCGTTCGGTATAAGTTGAACTTCCACACAGCTGCCTGCATAAATGATGAAACATGGAATTGCCTCAGTGGTGATTGTGGGACTGGAACCTACACTCTACATGTGGTAAAACAGGAGAGCAGTGGAGACTGGTGTCAGAGAGAGGGAATCATGACTCGACAGGTTCCCAGCAACGCTCCGTTTGAACTTCGGTGAGTGTACAACAGGAAAAAGTCATTTGTAAAAACAATTTTTAATTGTCACTGAAGGGCGACAAAAATGGGTCACTCGTGGTAAACTAATAATTGACTAAAACATGTTATGTTCAGACTTTGAAAACTGAATTTTCTATCAAGGTTGGAGGGTAGTGCATGGATATCCAACGTCAAAAATGGCATTTCATCATGGAGAGCTGTGACTCGGGTGGAACTGAGGAACCGGTCCGACACCGGCAAAGCCAACACATCACCTCAGACCACCATCCTACCAGCTGTGGGGTAAGCCCACTTAATGTGTGTCTATGTTTGTATTCTTATATATTTCATATTTTACATTCATCCCTTTCATATTAAAATGTATTTAACAAAGTATTTATCACCCGTTCGTTACATTAAAATGAATACAGCAAATAGAGCTACAATCTTTGTTTCTCTCTCAGAGTTCCTTCAAACTGTCAGAGAGATTTCAGCCTGTTGATGTTTGACCCTGATGGAGACGAAGTTAAATGCAGATATGGAAACTCTGCACTCTCAGAGTGTAACCCCTGCACTCCACCCTCTGTCCTCAGCCTCTCATCAGTGAGCAATGACTGTTACTCTCATGTCAGATGAGACAAGCAAACATTTTGCACAGAAAGTGATTAAATGGTTTTAACTGAGTTACAGTTCAGATCAATTTATTTTGCAAAAGTGAAAGTTTGTCCAAAAAAGTTGTTTTTTCTGCAACAGAAAACATTTTGGTTATTTTGACTTTAAGCCCATTTTCGTCCTCTTGCAGTCGTCTTGTACTCTGTCATTCAGCCCCACCAACAGCAGTAATGAAGGTTCGTATGTAGTACAGCTGGTGATGGAGGACTTCCCCAGACAGACCATCACTCTGACTCAAACCAACGGGACACAAACAACAATAACTACCAACGATGCCATCAGCAAAATACCGATTCAGTTTGCTTTGAAAGGTACCAATATACGTTTCATTATCTTACAATGAAAGCACTAAAGAGCTGCTGACGATGAACTTAGTGCTCGGCCTGATGTACAGAGATGTTTGACCACCAGTGTCATCAGGACTGATTCTCTGGACCAACAAATATTAATCTGTCCAGCAGATATTTTACTGTGGATCATCTTTGCATCCTGTGAGAATCACCTTAATTTCTCTGTATTCTTCCAGTTGATCCTGCAGTGCCATCCTGCACAGAAGGACTCTTTCTGCCCAAGTTTCTTCCTCCAACACCAACCAACGGAGCTCAGCTCTACAACAATGTCAGTCAGACTCTGGAAATTCACATCACTGCAGAGGCACTTAACTCCACGTAAGTAAAACACAGTTAAAGACTTTGTCTGAATATATAAAAGTTTAAATATTATATTCAGAGCAGCCTATGGGTAGATATGAAATATAGGCCTCAAAGTCATGAATCTAAGAGAAATGAGTGACATGCAAATTTGACATATGTTTCAGGTTATCAGGTTACATATGTGAGATGATCTTTATTATTACAAATCTCCAGTGCTGATGTACAAGATTACAGTCAGAAGTCAAGTTAGACGACACAGTAAATAAAACAGCCAATGCCACACAGATGTAAGGACATGAATGCAAAAAGATTAGGTAATACAAAAGTAAACCACATGAACATCTAATAAAAGATATAAATATTGAAACACTGATCCAACATTAGTCTTGATTGATTGATGTTTGATGTGCTTCAGTACCCCTAAAAATGGGCTAAAAGCGCCCCTGCTGCCAAGGTTGGTTGGTTTGAGAAATAAAACATGGCCGGATAAAATCTGTGCTTTAGTTGGGAAACAAAAGAAATATGCTCTTTTTGCAGATGTGGAGATTTTGGAAAAAAACAAAAACAAAAACAAAAAAACCCCCCACACACAAGTTGATGAATTTTTGATTTTGTTTGTTGAAGGGTCTCTGAGCTGCTCTACAGCGGGCCGTACAATTTAATCAGCAGTCCATCAGGACCAGGACAGTTCACCCTGAGATGGACACCATCTGAAAGCGAAGAAGGACAAAGCCTCCCCATCTGTTTTGCTGTCCAGGCAGTTTCTCGGTCAGTCTCATGTTTCATGTAAATGACTCTGTAGAAAGTTGCAGCAGTTGAAATTCCAACCCGTTCTCACTCCCAAAGCGTAACATTTTACGCTAGGTGACAAATCGTCAACATATTACGTTTTCGGCTACCCACCACGTTCCTAAATGATGACCTCGGAAAAATGAGGAAATATCAGAACCGTATGGACTCAATCTACACATGTTCGCTCTTTTTCTTCAAATCGCTTAGAAACACGCTATTTAACATCATTAAAGTCCTGGTTAATGTCAGGAAAAAGGTTATGGTTAGGGCTAGGGATAAGGTTAGGTTTAGGGCTGGAATACAAGGTTGGAACGTCTGTTACCGCAGGAGCGTCATTGCATTGGATTTCAGCCATAACCCTTTCGCGTTCCTCAGGAACGCCGCGGGACGTGACAAAACATCCGCATGTTACGCCTCGGGAGTAAGAACGGGCTCGAAATTCCTGAAATGAAAAAGTTTCAAAGTAAAATTTTAACTTGTTGCCTTACAAGTTTCCTGTTTTAAGGATTGTTCCATCATTAAAAGGTAGTTAGCTCTCCTTTGAGTCAACAAATATTTTTTTGTCTTTTGAGATTACAATTGCAGAAGGCAAAATGAAAACCAAAAAGCTGATAACAAGAGAGAGAAAAAATGGAAAAGACACTAAGAACCTGGGTAGAGGATCATGATGCTCATTGGGGACTTTAAATCAAAAGAGAAGAAGAGAGAAAAGACTTAAGAAGATTCACTGATGTAGTGAAGGAGGACATCCAAAGGGTTGGTGTGACAGATGAGGATGTTAGAAACAGAGTGAGATGAATGTAAATCTTCTGCTGTAGTAAAAGGTGCAGCTAAAACAAGAAGAATATAACATCTTTCTACTCAATTTTGAGCACTCAAAGCACTTTCTAGTACAAGTCTCATTCACCCTATCACACATACAGACAGACATGTGTTATACAAACATATTGTACCTAAATTACTTTCTATCTAACATTTACATGGATGTGCTGAGTAGGGCTGCTACAAACGATTATTTTGATAGTCGACTAGTCACCGATTATTTTTGCGATTAGTCGACTAATCAGATCATGCATCCATTGGATGTAAAACGTACAGCTTATTGCACCAGCATGCACCTGCTCTTATATAACTATCATTAGCTTACAGCTTTAAGTGTTTAAGGTGCTAACTAAAAATAAAGACAAGATGAAATTTGCAGATTGTTTCGTTGGAGTTTAATAAACTCAGTCGTCTGCTCCTGGCTATCTAAAATATAACAGGACACTGGAGTATATTCTCGAGCATCTCACACTTCTGATAATCAGTTGTCTGCTTGACGTTTATTCAGCTGCGTAAAAATGATAACTTTAATCTCAGCCAAACCGAATTAGCCAGGAACAAATAGAATACTGAAAAAAGCCAAACAATAACATTTTTAAGCTATCTAAGTGACTTATATGTAGGGTTGCCTACCGTCCCTTGAAAAACAGAATCATCCCGTATTTAGAAACAAAAGTACAGTGGTTCTAAATACGGGACGATTCTGTTTTTTAAGGGACGGCTGGCAACCCTACTTATATATCATGTTTAACATGAGTAGCGAAAGACGGCGGTGGGTTTGAAAACGATTTGCCGGGAGTCCGGTGTTCTCACGGCTCTAGTGAGCCTTGAACCCCGGCTAGCTATCGAGGTGGTGGGTAACAGACGTCTCCGAAAATGTCTGAGCGCTTTTGAAAATATGTAGTGTCTTCAAAGGAGCTTGCAAAGAAAAGCGTCTGGACTTCTTTAAGTTACTTGAAGACGTTTCACCTCTCATCCGAGAAGCTTCTTCAGTTCTAAGGTCAAATGGAGAGTCCCAGATATAAACCTAGTGAGAGTATCCCCCCACAGAGGGACAAAAGGACCCCCTGATGATCCTCTAATCGCCTGAGCCAAGGTGTGAAACTGGATGTGGGTCCCAATCAGCCAGAGTTTTGGGTGAGTTCATTGTAAAACCTGGCCCCACCTTATCATGCGAAAACCTTATCATTCTCGGATGAGAGGTGAAACATCTTCAAGTAACTTAAAGAAGTTCAGACGCTTTTCTTTGCAAGCTCCTTTGACTACGATGATCTGGATGACTGAGAACCTTCACAGATATGTGGTGTCTTGATAAACTGAACAGATATTTGAGGTTTACACAGCTACATTCTCGCCTGAAAATATGTTAAACGTGTATTCTGTGACCCAGAAAGAATAATAAGAGTAATATTAAAACTAACTAGCTGCCCCCATTGTTGGAAACTGAGCTGGGCTGCGCTATGAATTCTGGGACACAGCTTCTTCTTCGGGGTTTAACGGCAGCTGGCATCCTTGTACATGTAGTGCTGCCATCTTCTGTTTCAGTCCGTTATTACTCTTAAATCCTACCACTTATTCCTGCGTCTTTTGGGAGCTTAAAAAATTTCAAACGACGCGTCGACTATTAAATTAGTCATCGACAATTTTGATAGTCGACGTAATCATGACTAGTCAACTAATCGTGGCAGCCCTAGTGCTGAGTCAGTATCATGATACTGTGGCATATGGACAGAAAGAGCTGGGGATTGATCCACCACCAACCTGCTAATTGGTAGATGACCTGCTGTACCACCTGAGCCAACTTACGGGGTTGTCCTAAACTAGTACCTCTAGGAATAACAAGGAGAAAGTTGCTGGATTGTTAAGAAAAAAATGTTATGAAAGCATGCTCAATTAAGATACAAAGTATCAGTGGTTAAGGTACTTCAAATTATCATGGAATCAGACGCCTGTATAATGAAACATTAGACTTTATTATTATTTGCTTTGATATCTTTCAGTCAAGGTATTTCCTAAACAGACTACAAGTCGGATTTTTGTCATATTTATTGTATTTTGATCACATTTAAAACATCAAATCATCAGATTTCTCTTTATTCTCAGATTTCTCTTTACTGTTAAGTGTGTCTGTGTCAACTTTTCTGCTTATACTTGTTTTTGGGTGGTGTAAGCATGATCATTAAGGAGTGTTGGAGAGGTATACTGGTATACTTGAAAAGGAAAGATGATGTGAAACTACAGAAAGAATCATTTTGTACTCTTAATAACAGATCTATTGCACTGACTTATTTCTGCAGTGGGACCAAGTATCACTCAGAGCTTCGATGTGTCACTGTGACCGTTGTAAAAGGTGAGTAGAGTCCGTCACCATTTCAGCCACATTTTAAATCTAATTTACTGGATCAGTGTAACAGAGTTATAAGGTCTAATTCTGACTGTTTACAGGACCAGTAATAACCACAACACCCGAAACGACTACACCCAGTGAACCATCTTGTGAGTATGAATGAAATGACATGTTTACACTGTCTCAGTACAAGATATATTACTCTCACTTCATATTATTATGCCAATTTTATATCACTACACAATACTCTCAATTCTTAATTTGTAAAACCAGCAAAATACTTTTGAGGTATATTGAGTGAATTTTGCAGTACTGACTAACTGCATACAAAATCCAAAGTCCAAAATAAAGTCATCAGGTGATAAGATGTGATTTTCACCAGGCCACAAAACCCAATGGTTGCCTTTGCAATCAACAGTGTGAACTAGTGAGCAAACTCAGCAAAGCAAGAAATATAGAATGATGATCGAAAATGCCAGCAGGAAGTAAATAGATGATTAAGTAAAGCTAACTAAGCCTTGGTGGACAAACACAGGACCTTAATGTTTCATGTAGGACAACATGGTTGACATGAGTTTTACACCACCATCTTAAAATTCACAGTGCATATTTCTTTTTGCTAACACAAAAAAGAAAAAATTTATTTGGTCTGAATTAAAAAATCATCAACAGACTTGACGTTGCTTGAAAACTTTGAGAACTGAATAGAGTACATTGATTTCTATTGGATTCTAACATGTCTGTCATGGTCCTGAGTCTGGCGACCCAGTGTTTATGTTTTTATTATTGATGTTCTTTCTTTTAGTTAGTTTTTGGTGATTTCTAGTTCTTTGGTATTGTTTTGTTGCCTCACCTGTGTTACACAGTTCCTGTCTCTTCTCCTTGACCTCTGTTTGTGCATCTCCAGTCAATCGCGTCGTCCCATGTCTCTAAGTTTGTGTTTCTGTTTCCATCGTTGCTAGTTTCATGCTCCTCGTTTCCTAGTGCTTCTGTTTCTAGTTTCCAATGTTTACTTCTTAGTTTCCATGTTCAAGTTTTGGTTTGTTATTCGTAAGTTTATTTTGTGGATTTTTTCCCCCAGCATACACAGCCATACATGACAATGTCTTTGTGTTTCTAGATGTTCTCAAATTGAAGATTACCTCTTTGGTGGACTTGTCAAAAGTTGATAGACATTACTTACTTACACAGGTAAGTATATTTGTATTTATTCAGAAATCCCATCAGAGAGTCAAACAGCTGCACCATATGGACTGTATGGAAACAGCTGATCGACAACAAATTAAGGAAGCATCAAAACCGTTAACCCTTTCGACTATAAACGTGTTTGTTCAAATTTACCCTTTAACCCTTTAACGCCCAGGGTATTGTCTTTGATACATGTGTTTTGAGACTTCTAGATCATCAGCTTGACTTTTTTTATCCTCAAAAAATTATATAAATTGCGTGACACATTTTTAGTGACTAAATTGCAAAAATATGGCATATGTAGGAAACATGATACAAATTAAAACTCGTATATATGCAGATTAAAAATTGATAGATTTTTATATATTTTGTCTAAAGATTCAGCAAACACTCCATTATCAAAAAAATTAAGATGTCTTGCAGTTATTTCATGGCTCAAATTTTAAAGGGCTAATATGTCTTGAAACATGCTCAATCACTCAGGTAAGGAAATCTCAAAGTTGATTCTGTTTATCCGGAACGTTTTCAGTGGAACAAATGTTTCATTACTCGTCAAAGTGACTTCTTCAGGCTCAGCTGACTGCAGGTTTCCCCAACCTTATAAACAATACATTTGCATGATTAGCACAACTGGATAACAACGGGATATGAGGTCAGTTCTAGAGATGGACCGATCCGATATTACCTATCGGTCCAATACTGACCTAAATTACTGGATCGGATATCGGAGATACATAAAAAATGTAATCCGATCCAAAGTATCACAAAATCGCCTCACAAAACGCGCTACTTGGCGTAACCCAGCTCGGCGCATCGGCGCAGTATGTGTCACGTGATAGAGCGGCTGTTGTCTGCGAGACCTGTCGGTCTGTTGGAGCACTTGGAGCCTCGCTACATGCTTCCTAACTGCGGCATTTCATCTCGGCGAAAACTATCCCAGAGAAGTAAAGCAAGTGTGTAAGTTCCCTGAATGTTTGCACAGTATTTCCACGTTAAGCTTAACAAATGATATTGAGCCTCAGCTGGACTGGCCATTGGAGTTCCATACTGAGGTGAAAGGGAAGCGATTTTTCCCGTAATTCAGTTAGAATAAAAAAAAAAATAGGACACAAAGCTGGAGTTATTCTGTCTTTGCTGCGCAGTTGCATCTACTTCTCTCATTCTCTCCCCCTCCCTCTCCTGTTACTTCAAACATGAAACTGATCAATGATCAGCTGATCGGCTTTTCTGCCGCAAGTCCGTCTTTCTTGTTTGTTTATCGCCCACTTTGCGCTAGAAAGAGAAGACCAGCGGATAAACAACAGCAGCACGTTTAAGTGTGATAAGCTGTTGTTAGAATGTATTTAATATTACTTTCTAGAATCAGCTGAGGTTTGCTGGAGCCCCAGCTGTAAAAGCTGCTGGTCATGATGTCCGTTTGGATATGTAGTGAGAGTGAAACCTAAAGATAAAACCAGGAGATGTCCTTACTAAATCATCAGAGCTGAACAGGTGTGTTGAAGGGAAGTTATGAACTGTTTCTGAGAGACAAATAACACCGGGCTCCCTTTTTACGTAGCTGACAGCTGGTAAATGTGCAGGGGCGGGTCCTAACAGGGAGAGGGGGGCACAAAGAAATACTTTTCTTTGTTATGTCATTTAAAAACTTTGAATAAATAATTATCTGAATCTTACAACAAAAGTGGTCATCTCATTAAATGTATAGAAATCCATTATTGTATATGGTAAGTAATAAGTGATATATACACCTTAGTAAGCTATAGTACTTTTTCCTTTGGGAAGGTACCATCTGTGAAGTCTGCAATTCTGTTGAAGAAAGATGTTGAATCTATTTAATTATTGTAGAAAAATAATTGATTTCTGTGCATTTGTCTTACACTTGCATTAAATTAAAGTTAAAGTCAATTAAGCATCATGAGGTGGAGGGCGGGGGGTGGTTCCCTAATATTTTTGCTGGGAGTTGGCAACCCTATTAGTTAGGTTGCTTAATATTTCCACTAAGTACTCTTTAAAATACCACAATAGGGGGGATGGTGTAGGTTTAAATTTATTAGATTGATCAGTATTGCTGAACTATAAAATGTTTTGGGTGCAGTGTATTTTTTGCATACAGGTATGACAGAATAGCTTCAGTCTCTTGTTTTTTAAAACTTGATTATGAACTTTTACAAAATGCAGCAAGATATTTATAAAAAAAAGTTTTATTGATTACAAAATATCGGATTCATATTGGTATCAGCAGATATCCAAATTTATGATATCGGAATCGGTATCGGACATTAAAAAGTGGTATCGTGCCACCTCTAGTCAGTTCCTTGATCATTAATATGCAAATTGTTGTTACCATTGATCAACAACCACTGATTAATGCTCATTGATCAATGGATACGAGTACCATTCGCAGAGAGTTGGGGAATGGCTGTAATCACAGTATTGTAAGATGCTGTGATTGCATGATGATGTAAGATCTCCTTGTTTCAGAGATTTCCCTTTTCATATAAAAGACCTCCTTGACTCCCCACTCAAACCAGCGTTCTTCCCTGTCCTGTTCACTCATCCAAGTGACCGATAAAGTTACTTGGATGAAACGTTTTTCCCACTAAAAACGCTACTGGCTGAATTGTAAACGAGTCTTTGGATCTGTTTCAGAGCCCATTCAGTCCTTCTAATTTCTAAAATCCTTGTACTGTCCAACTCATTCTCATTCCCAGGGTGCCAAATTCTGACATTTTGACAAAGCTGCTGACTCAGCACACAGGTTGCTATAATACTGCATATAGAGAACAAAAGATCCTGCTTTAAAGATTAAAATAGTGTTGGCCATGTAAGGTATATATATCCAGTTTGGGAACTCTGTGTTTTGAGCTTTGCTTTACTTTCTGTTTTTTGTTTATCTATCAAAAAGAGAAAAGATGGTGGTCTGAGTTAAAACACACCTATTATGACCACTGACACATAATGATAAAGGGAATGAGGGCAGGCTCCTTATTACACTACATGGGCAAAAACACTGGGTCACTAACGCATTAGAAATGCTGATCTGCCAAGAAAACCCATGACATGAAGCTCCAGGTACACAGTTTTTGTGCAGATGTTAATGCAGTCCCTTTAACACTATGCGCTTCAGCATCTGTAGTCTGTAGTCCCAGCCTGCTTCAAAATGGCCACCATCGTCCCTGTACCCAAATCCTCCACCATCTCCTCATTGAACGACTGGCGACCTGTAGCCCTGACCCCCATCGTAAGCAAATGCTTCGAGAAGCTGGTCAGGGACTTCATCTGCTCTGCACTACCCGACTCACTGGACCCTCTACAGTTTGCATACCGCCACAACAGGTCCACTGATGATGCCATAGCCCTGACACTACTGCCCTGTCACACCTGGAGAAGAGAGACACGTATGTGAGAATGCTGTTTGTAGATTACAGCTCAGCATTCAATACCATCGTTCCCTCGAAGCTGGACAGGAAACTGCAGGATCTAGGACTGAGCAGCTCCCTCTGCAGCTGGATCCTTAGCTTCCTGTCTGACAGACGCCAAGTGGTCAGACTGGGCAGCATCACCTCATCCCCCATCACACTGAACACTGGTGCTCCACAGGGGTGTGTACTGAGCCCTCTCCTGTACTCACTCTACACCTACGACTGCACAGCCACTAACAACTCCAACATCATTGTGAAGTTTGCGGACGACACTACAGTGGTGGGTCTTATCACCAACGGTGATGAGACGGCCTACAGGGAGGAGGTCAGCGCCCTGACCCACTGGTGTCAAGACAACCATCTCACCCTCAACGTCGCAAAGACAAAGGAGTTGATAGTGGACTTCCGGAGGTGCAGAGAAGTACACACCCCCATCACCATCAACGGCGCTGCTGTGGAGAGAGTGAGCAGCTTCCGGTTCCTTGGTGTACATCTGGCTGAGGATCTTACGTGGTCAGTACACACAAACAAAACAGTGAAGAAGGCGCAGCAGCGCCTCTTCTTTCTCAGGAGACTGAAAAGATTCGGCATGAGCCCCCGCATCCTCAGGACCTTCTATCACTGTGCCATTGAGAGCATCCTCACTGGATGCATCACCACCTGGTATGGCAACAGCAAAGCCTACAACTGCAAAGCTCTCCAGCGAGTAGTGCGGTGCTCTGAACGGATAATTGGAGGTGAGCTTCCCTCCCTCCAAGACATCTACAGGAAGCGCTGCCTGAGGAAAGCGGGGAGGATCATCAAGGACTCCAGTCACCCCAGCCATAAACTGTTCAGACTACTTCCATCAGGAAGGAGGTTCTGCAGCATCCGGTCCCGTACCAGCAGACTGAGAGACAGCTTCTTCCATCAGGCCATCAGACTGCTGAACACTTCATAGACACCTCAGCTTCACTACTGGAACTTTAACATTATGCACTCCATACTGTACAGTAATGCCACTGTTTTGCACATGTCTCACTCTGTATATTTTTATATATTTTATTTATTGTTTATTCTATGTAATTTGTAAAATATGTGTATACACACACACACACACACACACACACACACACACACACACACACACACACACACACACACACGTAGAAAAATATTTAGTATACACATCCAGAAATGCATATACTATTATATATTGTACATATATTTATTAGTTTCAGATGTAGCCATTCTTGTATTTTGCTTGTTTACATTATTGTATTTTGCACAACTCTGTTGCTTGTGAAGCTCGCACACAAGAATTTCACTCACATGTGCTGTACCAATGTACCTGCACATGTGATGTGACAATAAAAGTGATTTGATTTGATTTGATTTGATCTGATAACCCTGCTCTGTACATTTACATGGTCTGCCACTCTATGACTGAGTTGTTATTTCTTCCAATTTAAGTCCAGAAATGCTAACAATCTTTTTATTTGTCATCACTGCATTGTTTTTTTTTTTATCATCCAAAAAAAACAATAAAATAATTAACTTCTTTTTAGACTGACAGAAACCAGAGTTGCTGTCACAGCGGGGGTACGCCGGTCTGTTTGTTTTTAAGACTCAGAAGCAGACGCAGAGAGGGGTTTGTGGGAGTTAACAAAAGGCGAGCCTTTATTTGGCTGTAAGCAGTAGCATAACACGAAACTAAGAAAACAACGAAGACTGTGAACACTGTGTAAACTGAAAGAATATGAAACTCAGTGAAATAACCATGAAGAAAATATGAACACTGAGTAATCTAAGAAACACAGTGTAAACACGACATTTTCACTGATCCGGCCCGCATTAGATGAAAGTGAATGTGATGTAAAGTGAATTTGACGCCCCTGGTCTACAGTACCCCACTGGGAGAAATGACTGTATGGGGTCATATCTTAAACTGTTCACACATGATAGACATGCAAAACCACACAGGCACACCCTTCATCATAAAAACTGTTTATGCGAGCACAGTTTCTTAAAACCTTTGCTGCTTCTTTCTAAAGAACCCTCACATGTATAATAAAAATCAGTGAGAATATCTGTCTTCATTTTTCCCTCTCTGTAGATCAAAAATGTGCTGATATCCAACGGACTGCCCCAAGACATGATCATACGACTCATGAGCAGCAAACCACAGATTGGTGCAATTGCAGCGCCCTCTACTGGCACAACATGAACATCTACTGACAACTTCTGGAACATTTTAATTTCATCTGCTGAATGAAGTTTTGTCTTCACTGTTCTTTAAATAACTTAAGAGTAGATTTTAAAAGCAAAAATTGAACCTGATTTTTCACTGCTATGATCTAAAATTAAGTAATTTGTACTGTGTTATTTTTTACTATCCTCATTTTATTTTATTCAAGTGGTATAATTCAAATATTTTTTGTTATTTATTTTAATAATTGTTTAAATTTTATTTTATTCTCTTCACTGTGTGCAATATACTTTCATTACGCTTTTTGAGATTTATAATTTCTGTTTGAAGTAATTTGCAGTTTGGATTTGATATGTGTTATATGAAAATAAAGATATAATTTATGTTAATAATGTTATTTAATATGAATGATTTTTAAAATGAATGGTAATTAAAAGGAAACTTTTAAAATGGCACAATGGAAAAGGACTAAGGTTTTATCACATCCTGCAGAACTGCCTCTGTTCAAACACAAAATACAAACATCTTTGGATATCGTCAGTTGACCCGGGCCCTATTTCAGGAAGCCGGTTTAGAAAACTCAGAGTGAAAAACGATACTCAGGGTTGAGTAACCCCGAACTGTCCAACTCGGAATATTCGGTTTCAGAAAGGCTGATAACAATTAGTTCAGTCAACGCGGAGTTGCTTTAACCCCAAGTTAAGCGCGCGCACGAGGATACATAAAGCCCTGATTAGTGGAGCACAGATTAAGCGAGTCACCATGGAGACGGAGGGAAAGAAGGCGCGGTCAGTGTATTTTACAGCGCTTGAGGCCGAAATTCTGATGGCAGCATATGCCGATAACATGCAAATTTTGCAGAAAAAAAGTAACACAGCCTCAGCTGCAAAAGAAAGGGAGCATGCATGGCAAAACATAGCCAACAGAGTCAATGCGTGAGTGTTAATTTAAACATTGATCTAGGGATTTCCACCCATTTAACACGTTATTTTATTATTTTTTATTTTTTATTTCATACATTTTATTTTGTGATGTGATTTGAGTGCAGGTGCAACCCAACAGGCCCCAAACGTTCCTGGCAGCAAGTAAAAATGAAATATAAAAATATAGTCCAAACAGGTAAGGTGTAATTGTATTATGAGCCATAGTGCTTGGTCTGTTTGTCCGATGTAAATCAATTGCAGTTAGAGGCTACATTAATTTCCTTTCTGTAAGCACTTATTGAAATTATCTGAGCATTACAAGTACATATTTGCTTACTCTGTATGCTCAAATGTGACCCGTTATGGCCACTAGAAAAAAAGCGGAGGCCCGAAAAACAGGTGGGGGTCCTCCACCACCACCACTCACAGAGCCTGGCCACTTGGCTTCCACATTTGTGATAATGTTGGCAGCATCACATATGATTCACAGTGCAGAGAACACAAATTAGCATCCATTACTAATAATGAAATAATTTGTTAGTTTGAAATGCTACAGGGAACTATGTACCTGTACATTAATGCTGTGGAAAGACTTCCTGTTCACATAGTCTCCTTCATTTACTGAAGGAGCAATGATTGGAATGTGAGTGCCATCTGTACAGCCAATCACGCCTGGGAACCGTGAGAATAAATGTAAACTTTAAGTAGTAGTTCAAGTATCACCACATCATGAATTAAGTTTTGTTCATCCTGCTACCTGCAATTTTGTGGAATCCCTCTTTGATAAATCTTGTGGGTCTATGACCGGGGAACACCACAAACGAGTACAGGAGACGTTTCAGTGCAACTGTAACATTCCTGACTGCCCGACAGACGGTAGCCTTGGAAACGTGCTCAGCGTCACCAATATTATACAGAAAGCTCCCATTTGCAAAAAACCGAAGTGCGATACAAATAATATGTACAGAACTGAGAGGATGTCCGCGATGTGTCACATGAGCAATATTAGGCCTGAGGATGTTATTCAAATAAATTGTAGATTGTGCTGAAAAACGGTAACGTTCACACAGAAAATCATCAGGAAATGATAAAATGTCCGAACGCGCTCTAATCACTCTCTCCCGGCGGAGAGCTCTGCGGAGAATTTGGGCTTCAACATCTACTGGCTCTTCAAGGAAGGGACACGCCATGTCTGACACTTCCTACAGTCAGGTTTCCGACAAAGAGGCGGAGAAAGTCAGGGTTAGTTGAAGTAAACCTGCTAGGGGGCAGGTTAGCTTCACGGAGTGTGTCGTCATAGTAACTCACTCAGAATTAATCTAAACTCGCTTTGTGAAACCGAAAACCCAGAGTTTTCGTTAACTCAGGGTATACTTACTCAGAGTTTGCACTAAACCGGCTTCCTGAAATAGGGCCCCGGTCAATTATGTGATTGTATATTTTGTGCTATGAAACTCCAGCATCCAAGCAAAAGTAAATACTTCAAAGACTAAAACTGCTTTGACTTAAATGCTCACAGTAAAGGAAAAAGAGAACATTCACTTTAAAAGTAAAAGACTGTCAGGGTCCCTGTGTCGACCCGGTCGGCTCAGTGTGGCTACATGTGTTTTTGTTTTGATTGTGTTCCTGTGGGCGGAGCTCACCTGTGGGCTCTTGCCCTTGGCCCACGCACCTGGTCATAATCACAAACCTGTGGCTCATCACCAAACAGTGTTCCAGTCCCTTTATAAGATGGAAGCTCTGTGTTTCTCGTTGCTGGACTGTTGCCGACTCTCGTCAGTGTTAACCCCAGCTCGGTTTATTGTCGTGTTTCCCTGGCGATCTTCCTATAGTAACCTTTTGTATCGCTGTGAATAGATTTCCGTGGACCTACCCCTGTGCTACCTGATAGATCAAGTGTGTGAGGATTGGAGCGAGCTTTTGTGTTTCTTGTGGAGTATAAAGAGGAGTGTGAGGCGTGGACAGAGTGTGGTCTTTGGAGTGTGTGTGGACTGAAAGTGTCTTTCCCCCCTGTTTGTGTGTGGATTCCCAGAACCCGTCTTTTCCCCACTTTGTAAATAGATCTTCTGTAAATAAAAACTCTTTATTGTTCTGTACTCAGTGCCTCCAGCACTGCCGTGCTCTAATCCACAGCCAGGGAGTTTTGTGACACTGCAGCTAATCGTGTCTTGTTTCTCACACCATCATGCTCCACAACCTTTTCTGTGGAGGACTACATATCTGGAATATCAGGATGAAGATGGAAAAGACTTACTGTTTTCCTGGCACTTGAATTTTTGAAGTGGATTGTAGTCCATGTGGGAGCTAATGATATCCAATATCAACTTTCTCATTGGTCAACAGTATCAAGCAATGTTTTATTGCAGCTCTTAGAACACACAGTAGGGATTAAAGAAAATGCAAAGCAATGGTTTGAATCATATCTATCAGATAATTCTAGTTCATTCATGTGAATGGATAGTCTTCACACATTAATGTTAGGACTTTCTCAGTATTCCATGCTAGGACCAATTCCGTTTATGATATACACGCCTGCTTAGGCAGTATAATTAGAAGGAATAGCATACATTTATCATCGCTATGAATTTAATTGCTAACCAGCTTTATTTATCCATGAAGCCAGATTATATAAATCAATCAAGCTACAGCTATGTCTTAAAGACTTAATAGCCTGGATATCCCATATTCTATTTGCTCCAGTATCTCAGAATACATTTAGGAATCTTGGAGTTATTTTTACCAGTGTATGTTTTTACAGAGGGCTTTGTAAATGAAGCTTCAAACTATATTTCTAGTCTAAATGATGATCTTCTAAATAGAATAGAATAGAATAGAATTCAACTTTATTGTCATTGCACATGCACAGGTACAGGGCAACAAAATGCAGTTTGCATCCATCCAGAAGTGCTTTAGTGATATAGATATATTACAATATATATTAGCAATAATATAGATATGTGAGTATATTACAGAAATGGGTCTATTATGGTATGTTATAATGTACACGGTATGAAGTATGTTGTGAATATTCTATAACTATAAGTATGTACAGGCTGTAGTGAGTACAAGCTATGTACAGGATATGAACAGGATATAAATATGAAAAACTATACAGAATATGAAATAAATAACTTTACAGAATCTGAGATATACAGCTATACAGAAATGGGAACTATGCAAGTTGTAAACAGTTGTAGGATTAAAGATTATCGAATGTACAGAATGATTATTTACACAGAGCTATACAGTAGTGCAGTTAAGATAAGTGTGTCACGGTCTGGCTGGGGCAGACCGTATGTGTTGCAGAGGAGGACTCAAACAAAGACCAAAACGTAGTGTGGATAAACAAAACAAGCCGTTTATTGAGGCTAGCAATGAGGGTAAAAATAATCGGGCATCGGTGAAAACTAAACAATAACCTAAACTGGGTGAAAGAAACAAGGCCACAAAAACAAAATGTCCATCAAAAACACAGAAGCGCAGGGAACAGTTCCTAACTCCTCAGGGGGCCGACCTGGAGGGTGACGGTCCAGTAGTCCATAGTCCACGAGCTCAGGGGGCCGACCCGGAGGCCGACAGCATAGCAGGTCATAGTTCCAAGGTTCAGGGGGCCGACCCGGAGGTCGCGAGCACCACAGGTCACAGTTCAACAGCTCAGGCGGCCGACCCCGATGGCAAAAATGTCCAGCTAATGGCCCGGAAAGCGGCCGGCGATTCCAAGGGGCAAAACACGGCTTGGACGGCGGCAACACAGCTGCAGGACCAGGTGAGGCCGACACAGAAGCAGAGGCTGAAGCTTGACCAGGCGACGGCGAAGCAGGAGCTGAGGCCGAGGCTGGACCAGACAAGGCAGAAGCAAAAGCCGGACCAGGCGAAGCAGAGGCCGAAGCTGGACCAGGCGTAGCAGAGGCCGAAGCCGGACCAGGCGTAGATGAAGACTCTGACGAAGCCGGACCAGGCGAAGATGAAGACTCTGATGAAGCCGGACCAGACGAGGCTGAAGACACGGAGGCTGGACCAGACGAGGCTGAAGACACGGAGGCTGGACCAGACGAGGCTGAAGACACGGAGGCTGCAGCAGGCGAAGCACAGGCTGGAGCTGCAGCAGACGAAGCACAGGCTGGAGCTGCAGCAGGCGAAGCACAGGCTGGAGCTGCAGCAGACGAAGCACAGGCA